GCGCGCGGCCCCTACGTGCGCTCGCGCCTAGACAGTCCCCGGCAGTACCCCAGCCTTCAACGGACGCAGCACGACGACGCGTGGCTGTCAGTCTAGCGACGCTGCGTGTAGAGTCGGCTGCCGACGCAGCCGCCCGCCGACAGACGGACAGCCATTTGTAAACAGCAGCCGACGCGCAGAGCGCTGCGACGACGATGAAGCGCGGCCGGAGACGCGGGGTGTCGCGCGCTTGTAGCGGGCGGCGACGCGACGGCGCGCTACACAGAGATGCCGACAGCACAGCAGAGCAACGCCGCGAGAAAACATGGCGGCGCAGCGGCCGTGCCAGCCAGATTGCCCAGAAACGGCGAGAAACTATAGGGAACATAGCGGGGACATTTGAGGGAATAATTGTTGATGAAATAGGCGAACATATAGGCGAATAATTTGCGGATACATAGAGAACATAACAGGCGACATAGCGAAACATATAGGCGAACACGCGCGGGGGGGGGCACATAGCCATATAGCGCGTACATATGATAGACATAAAGGGAGCATATAGGACACAGTTAGCAAACATAGCGGACATATATGGAATAAAGTGAGACATGTGGCGGCACACAGTGAAACAGTTGGGACACATATGAAGAAATATCCGGTGATATAGGGCACATAGCCTGAACATAAGGCAACATATCGAGACCATATAGAAACATTGAGAACATGCGGCAATACAGAGGAGCAACATATAGCGAAACGTTTAGAGAACACGGCCCATCAATTATATTGGAACGCTTACGGAACATGGGAGGTACTCACAGCTACAAGCAAATGTTGAGGAGCTGTATAGAACAGTGAAAATACAGGAAAAACGCACAGAAACACAGAGGGCCCCGCGTTATGATCAATAGAGCAGCTTCTCCGCTGATTGTGCCTTCGTACTATCTTCTTTCTCTCCCCCACTCACTCACTCACTCTCTCTCTCGCTCTCTCTCTCTCTCTCTCTCCTCTCTTCCTTCTCTCTCTCTCTCTCTTTCTCTCTCTCTCTCTCTCTCTCTCTTTCTCCCTGTCTTCTCTCTCTCTTTCTCCCTGTCTCCTCTCTCCCTCCCTTGCTCTGCTGAATTTCAAGTCGTCTGCTAGGTGAATCTTGCTTATGTAGAATTCTGACCGGCCGGAATGCGCCGCCTGCTGGAATTGCACTATGAAATACGCTGGCTGAAATAAAGCCGAAAAAGGGAGAACGCAATGAGAAAAGAGAGAGCGGTTTGGAAGCGAAGCCGGAGAAGAGAGAGGAGGCGCGCGAGAGAGAGCGAGAGCACGAGAAGAGGGAGAGAGTGCGAGAGAGAGGGGGGGCAGAGAGAGAGGCGAGCAGAGAGAGCAGAGAGATTTGAGTTGGCCCAAACGACATGGGCGGGAGGGAGTGCTATCCCTAAACCTACAAATTGCCTCACCCACGGGCGCAAGCCAGACAGGCGTGGTACCCCATCGTAGCTGCGCCCACACACGGGCAAGCGGTCTCCGCCTTCACTCCACGCAGCGGTAGAAAAATAAATTTTTAACATATTTTAAAGCAATTACCCGATACGTATCAAATATTAATGCGCCTCGTTTCATTTTCATTTTCTGATTACGACCAGCATGCTAATGGCATGATTACACTTTTGGAACAAATTCATTGCTCCGTGCAAGCGCTAAGCCTTTTTTGCGAACGCGCGATATGAAACGCGCGGGCAGGCTGTGTATGCGCGTGCTGTGCGTGTATGTTTGTGTCGTGCGTGTGTATGCGCGTGCTGCGCGCGCGTTGTGGTGGTGCGTAGTAGCTGCATGAAGCGTATGGTGTGCGTGTGCACGCGCGCGGCGTGGTGTGGTCGCGTATGTGCTGCGCGTGGGGTGCACGCGCACGCATTCATGCACGCACGCGCGCATGGATTGTGGAAGCGCAAGCACATTGACATTTAAGGAATCTATGAGGATCAAGGTTAAGTATTACTTCTGGAATGTAAATATAAGCCTGACCGCCATCTTTCCTTAGATCATAACCTGACACGGTGAACCTATACTATCAACGTAATTGTTGGTTTAATATTTAATGGCTCTTATAAATTAAATTTAATGTGAGATGAACTAGCATAATATCAAGAGTACGTAATAGAGATTTACCTCTATTATGTACTCTTGATAATATTAAGTTAATTTTAAATAAATTGCGTTAATTCTGTTACGGTTAGGTAAGTTAATTAAATTTAAGATTAACTATATATTATTATTTCATTGAATTAAAGTCGCTTATTTGGCGAAACACGGTGCCTATCCATGCTGAATAAAAAATGAGCATAACGTTCGACACACGATGATATGCCACAAACTGTGATAGAATTAATCACAATCTACCGCGACTATGATTTTGTAAGATAGCTGCGCCCTGTAAGAGCGTCACAGCATTAAAAATCACTTGCAGCTGCTACGGATATGACATGCCTATTAATTCACTACGATATCCCCTGCTAGTATGTGTTGTCCTTACCGTCTATCGTACTGGCAGTGTGTGGTTGGCATTAGAAGGCAATTGCACGTGATGGCCGCTTAATTTGTGCATTAGTTAATTACTCATCCACTTGATTAATTTTACATTTAAAGTGCTAATTTGTTGCAAACTGTTTGCCTAAGTCTGCGTAGTGTAAACTGGCCGTTTAAGCGTAGTACGTTTATACGTTTTAAATTTCAAATTTTAGCATTAATTACATAATTATATTACAACAATGACAATGAAAATTACCTAGTCACAAAACAGCGTGCATTGAGAATTTTGTTCTAAGTAAATTGGACCCTAACACGATTAACGGACGCCACAATAAGCGATTACGCTCTATAAAAAAAACTATATTCTTGAACTCGTCCCGATATATTCTGAGGATATTTTCCCACGAAGGTTGCAAAGATAAAACACTACAACCTTTTGCCCTTCATCCCGAACAGAAAACATTGATGTAGGCTAAGTCACGATGGGGATTAATTTCTCGAAAATAACGAAAAAATTCGGGAATTCTATGCAGCCGCTCTGTCTACGAATAATGAGCAAGACCACTACTACAATAATAAGTGAGATCGGAAAGTCCAGCTGTGCTATGTAGGTCACATAAAAAGGGGGTATAAAATGACCGACGCGCTTAGGAAAGCACAGGATTAATGTAAACGTAACTCGTGGGTTTTTAGTTTTTGCATTAACACAAACATTGCAAAATATCCCAAACGACCACAATCATATTTGTAAATGTTTATGTAAACAGAAACGCACCTGTGAATTGAAGTACGATGCTAGTGAAGAGAATTATAGATCAAAAACCCAGAATAGTCCTACCCCACCCATGTTATAAAAGGGCAGTTTATAGGCCCTCTTATCTGATTTCAATATGGCGGCGGGGACTTTTCGATATAGCTTATAGAGGTTTACATCTTCTACATAACGCCCGCACAAAATCTATTGACAGTTATCAATTTCCTGCACATTGCAACTATCGACGATGACATCTGTATGTGATCGCCCGTGAGGTGGCGCATGCGCAGAGTCGCACTAAGTAAGTTAACACACGTACGGCCCTTCAGGCTTACAGTGTAGCATTAGCATAATCTTTACGCATGATCGGTGGTGCACCATCGGTTTTCTCCGCGTAGTGGCAGCTGGCTCTGTTAGCTTTATTAATTGTTTTATGAAACCAATGACCTTTTGGTGGCATAATGTTTCAAATAGGATTCGTGTAGTTTGGATATGCCATCGGAGCAAAACAACGTGATGTAGGGGAACCCGGGGCAAAGTGGACCGAAGAAATTTGGTTGGCCAAAACGCTGTGAAAGAGCGAGACAAAGTGAAATTTTTGGCTCTAATCCTTTGGCTTAGGATAAGAACTAACAGGCGGTACAATCAAAGTTAATTTAAAAAACGACTTTATTGAAATATACAAAATTATAAAATTTATAAATATTTCATTTTGCCCCAGACTCCCGGGGCAAAGTGAAACCTGTTATGGGACAAGGTGGAATGTCATTTTACTCCATGTATATTGTGTCAAAAATGTTGCGTCCTCTTTCAGTGTCTAACTCTGAACATCAAATTCATAGTTGCGTACCATTTTGCTTAAAATATGATAAAAAAATGCCATTATAGGACGCTTATACAATAATTAGGTCTAGGGAAGACACAGTTATGCCAATGTTACCGAGTTAGGTGTTAAAATGATGCAAAGACAGACATAGGCCTACCTGCTACTGAGAGTACTAATTAAGATCATAATAAATAATCTGATAATAATGATATACATTTAGGCCTATCAAATATGGCCGGAGCAAAGTGGAACCCTGTTCCACTTTGCCCCATCCACTTTGCCCCGAACACATGATAGTTTCTAGACATGTGGCGTTACGCTGTGCAGACAACTACGCAAAGAATGTCATCATGCATATGGCACACATAGATTCAACAAAATAGCCTACATAAGAATTCCACAAGATCACAGTGATTTAGCAGATGATTCATTTTTCAGAAATATCCGTTTAAACACATAAAAAACAGACTTTCGTCCAAAAAAATGTACATAGCTGATTCATGCAAATGGCATCCATTAAAAACGATGCATCATCAACTGAGTTTCTTATGAAAACAGTCACAGATAGATGGGGGCATCAACATAGATCTGCTGAGACAATTCCACTTTGCCCCGTGTTCCGCTTTGCCCCGGGTTCCCCTATAGGCTGTATATATGGGCTGGTACTTTCCCCCTCGTATGTTAAATAACTCCTCGATTTGTAATTCATTAATGTATGCTAGCTCGTGCCTCCACTATTATAATAGATAACATCGTAAAGAAACTAAATCTTAGTATGAACTATGTATTAACTTCAATGTTTATTAACCTCTGATAGCGACGTCTTCTGTGAACTGAATTACATTGTAATGTTGTGAGTGGCTTAATAGTCGGTCTCTAGACAGCCAGCATAAGTCGCAGCTATAACCATAGATGCCTTGCAAAGACTCTGGCGTTTTCAGTAGGTTTTTCTCATGAGATTAACCGCAGGTGACGGTGACATTTGCATCTGACCGCCATACGAGGATAGTAGCCGGGTACAACATGTACGAGAGTCGTAAACCAATCCATAACATAAATCAATCAATCGGTAATCAATAACATTTCCATCTCTGTGTTCAATATATTGAGAATATTTACCCAATAGGGCTATGAAGAAACAATTAATGACATACGAGGGGGAAGGAGTTTACGCGGCCGCCTGCGTTTATCTCTTTGAATATATGCGCATACGTGAGCTTATGTGGATGTGCATGGGTTCGGGTGTGGGTGCGTGTGCACATGCGCGCGCGCGGGGATGGGCATCGACTACATTTTAGGTCATTACTTTTTGTCAATTACTTTTGATGAGAATATAAGAAGACTATGTGATTTGCATCTCGCAGATTTTTAATCATGGTGCTAGGATCGTGTAAATGATAATGCATGAGCTGGTTTAATCAGACTTTCATATTAGTGAAGAATCAAACGATAAGACATATGAGGAGGAATATAAAATATGTACTTGAAAAAATAAACAGTATAGACTACAACGAAGTAAAATGTAATAACCGCCCATGGATACGCATTTTATTCTATTTAAATCGGTGAATCACACTAGCATAATCTTTGTACTGACACGCAGACCCCGAACAGCCATGAAACAATCTTGCTCGCTTATCTGCTCAAATCCCTAGATTAACTGGCTACAAATTTGAGGACCAATTTCTACCTTTCTGAACGGCACCACATTTGTCTACATTGCGGCCCCTATTCGCGCGTTTTCTTTTCCACATTCATAGTTCATTTTATAACGCTTAACGGCATCAGAATTGCACAGCCAGGTGATCACATGACCGGCGGAGCGTGTAACGGCTTTCCACAAGCCAGTAATTGGGTTTAGCTAAGACACGTTGGGATGATATCGTTCGCAGATCGATACACGGATTCACTCTCGATATCATGTGCACCGTGTCCAAATACAAATCACGGAGCGACGCCCGAGCAAACGTATACATGCGTGATAATATATTCCGCTTACTCTCCGGTATGCGTAGATGAATAATATTTACTGTGATTGCGCGCAATTTTTATCGCAAAAACACGTAGCATTCAGCCGCGGTAGACGACGACGACGACGACGACGACGACGACGACGACGACGTCGACGCGCTCTTCCCGCCGCAACCATGCGCAGCGTGATGGCGCCATAATTTTCGTTCTTCTTGGCCACACGTACGTCATATTTCAAGAAGCACTCAATACCTGACTTGACAACGTCAGCGGCACGCATCTAATATATCCATGCGCGGTATTATTACGTATGGGCGTTAGACGCTGCGCGTGCATCACTGCTCCGGCTTCCCATGGGGCCACAGGCTAATATGATTGCGATGGGCACATGTTTTCGACAGCATACATATTAGCTAGTTGAAGGCGGAGTTTAAATTTGTAGGCACGCGCGCATTGTAGTATATATACCATAGACGTTTGAGCGACGCCTATATTACGGAATAAGCCACCGTCGCGAGCGCATCCAAGACCAGACAGTGGGGCTTACCGCGTCGATCTACTAGTGAATATAGTAAGTCTTTCATTCGTATTTTGTCTCGTATAGCAGTAATTTTGACTCGTGTGCATGGGCGCGAGAGCATACGCGCGCGCGTTGCGTATATGCGCGCATGCACACGCGTGCGTGTACGAATACGTGTTCTTTCGTGCTTTCGTGTGTGCGTACCTTAGAGAGTATATACTTGCTTTATCCAAAATAACGCTGACGTTTTTGTGTATGTAGCATACACACGCGTACGTACGCACGGACGCATGTACACACGTTTACGCGAACGCACTCGCGTGCGTGCACGCGCACACATATTACGAGTAAAATAACCGAGGCGGCACTTACTTGACTTGACTTACTGAAAGGTAACTATAACAATAAAATAGCCGAAGTTTGTTATTATCAGTAGTATGATTAGTTTTGATTATCAATAAGCACATACGTGTACCGTTTCTTTATTCCTCTCATAACAACACTAGTACTATTATTTAAATGCAGCAAGTAGAACTATTTTCATGTGTTTAAAACTCGTATAATTAATTGTCAATGAATCGATCACTCACTATACATACCGTCTCTTACTGCGCAACATTAGCAACAAAAAATAAGTTTGTATAACCATAAATCTCTCTATCTACATCTCATTATAAATTTCTAGAGAATTAAAAGTTTACTTGTCTATTACCCTAAGCTAAAGAATATTGTTTTATTTAATTTTCATTTATTGTGATTTCATAAAAATATAGGAATGACATGATAATAATACTATGATACTGATATTATAATTACTGTAATAAATAGTAAAATTAGCAGCATGGTAATAGAAAAAACATTAGTAAGTGTAATACATTAAACGTGTTACGCAATCGAAACACTTCCGCTACGTTTACCTGGCAGTACTATCGTTTAATAAGTGCGAAAAAACCTGCCGTCATTTTATCGAAGCCTTGTCAATCCGTTAATCTCACATATCAAGCTAGCAAGGTATAAAAAATAGAGGTCGTTGTTGTGGTGGGTCTGCACTCGTGATATTAAAACGCGCGCGAACTGTGTCATTCGTCTGTCTATACGCGCCATGATGATTATCTGGAGTAGGTAATAGGAAATCCCCTATTATAGGGAATTCCCTATTATCTACTTCTGATGACTATTGAACATCCTCAGCTGCTGTCGCTGCTTTATAGTGCCCCCTTGTGCATCTCTTGGCCACCGGAGCACCTGAATAATCACGTGCATTTGCTCGTTACGTTGTCCAGCACTGCATGGTGCACTCGTAGATTCATGTTGGGCTGGCGCTCAAGAGTCTTAAATGCCAATCGAGTTGTAGGCTCCGGATTTGTGCGATTATTTTTCTCGATGACGAACACACATTGTTGACCTTTCGGCTATCTGACATTTTCGACGCTTAGTAACATCACGTTGTTGTCGATGAACGATGACTGCGAGTCGATCTTTCTCATTTTGCATTGTGTGTGTATGTGTGTTTGTTGTGTATGTGTGTGTGTGTGCGTGTGTATGTGTGTGTGTGTGTGTGTGCGTGTGTGTGTGTGTGTGTGTGTGTGTGTATATGTGTGTGTGTGTGTGTGTGTGTGTGTGTATATGTGTGTGTGTGTGTGT